GTAGGTAGTGGATATAAAAACGTGGAAATTTGTTTTTAGAGGATTTTTTTTTTGTTGTTGGAACTTTTCGAGATATACGTAGATATATACATTTTGATGTGTACCTGCGTATGTTCTTATTCCTTCTTGTTTTTGTTGTTTGTGCGTTGTGTGGCCGCTGGGTTTTTAGCTTTTTCTTGTGGTTCCCAATTGCATGCTTTTTTTTGTAGGTAACTTTTCTTTCTTTATTTCCAATGGGAGGAGTTTTTTCCTCTTTCTCAGCTGTTGTGGTCCGTAAGTGGCTGTATAAAGCGGAGTTGGTTGTGGGGCTTCCTTTTGGTGGCCTGTCTTTTTTTTTTCTTCCTTTTTTTTTGGTCTTTGGAGTCGGGTGGTATATATATATATATACATTTCATTTTCCGCTTTTTGCACGCTGCTTGCTTGCTTTTTTCTTTCTTTTTCCTTCTTCGTCTCGTCCTCGTCGTTTTGCGCGCGTCGTGGTGTCTCCTGTAGTCAAGGGGCGCACCGTCTCTTTATTTGGCGGTATGGCGTTGTCCAAGGGGGAACATTTGAAGGTGTACGAAGGGGACATCATTGACTCGCGTTTTAAAGTCATTCGTGAGTTGGGCGCCGGTAACTTCTCGAAGGTGTACTGCTGCTATGACATCACGCTGCCGCGTGACGTGAAGCGCGCGTTTGTGGCGGTGAAGATCATTAAGCGAGATTATAGGGAGGATGCCTACTTTGAAAGGGACATGCTGGAGATACTGCTTAGCAAAGGCCTGGGGGGTGCGGCGGTGTGTCGCATGTTTGAGTTTTTTGAGTGGCGGCGGTGTCCGGTGTTTGTTATGTCTATCCACGGCCCCTCGCTGCGCACGCGTCGGCTCGGCTACAGCAACGGTGTTGTGACGCGGGCGAAGCTGGTGCAGCTTGCCTTCTCACTTCTGACGACCTTTCGACACATCCACTTTGACTGCCGCATGGTGCACACAGATTTAAAGCCGGAAAATATTCTTTTGGCGGACCTGAACCCTCCCAAGTATTCCCTAGGCACCCAGTGGGTGGTGTGCGACTTCGGCAGTGCCTCGCTCTGGCGCATGGACCGCCTTGACGCGGATCTCATCTCAACCCGCCCGTACCGTGCGCCGGAGGTCATGCTGGGCAACCCGTGGTTTTACGCCGCCGACATGTGGAGCATGGGGTGCATTCTGTACGAGGTCGCCGTGGGGCAGCGGTTGTTCGACGTGCGCGACGATGTCACGCACCTGATGTTGATGGATAAACGCCTTGGACCCCTTCCAACGTTATTTACAAAAAACTCAAAGTATTCGTCGAAGTTTTTTGCGCCAAATGGGGATTTTCTACAAGACTCAGAGCCGATACGGGCTGGAAAGCTGAGCATGCGAAAGTTGTCAGATGTCTTTTGCGACGACCCCGAGCTGTACGACCTCATTGCTTCCATGCTTGTATATGATCCAATGCAGCGTCTCACCGCAAAGGAGGCATTGCAGCATCCCATTTTTGACAACATTCACGTTAGTAGCAAGACAGACTTTATTGGGAATTATTTGGAGAATGAGGAGGAGCATTTGATCGGCTTTCCGCGGGCGGTGCCGCCTACGAACATTGAGGCGGTGTACGCCACAGGCGTAAGGCAGGTGGACGGCTTGCCTGGAGTGGATAAAAAGTTGCTGGCAAGACGTGGAAGTTCGGCCCCGGCGACGCACGTGCTTAATAACGTTGGCCTCAATCCACACCCGCCGGCACGTCCGCCGGTGAAATTTGTTGCTGGGATGCCGAGGTCGGGGGAAGCCTCACAGGCGCCTTCTGTTGGTAAGGCACGCTCCGAGGATCAGCATGTTTGGTTTTTGGACTCCGCACACCCCTTCCCTGAGAAGGAAGTGAATCCTGTCCCGGCTCTGAGCCATGTCCCCAAACACTCCGTCATGCCCCAGGGGAGTGAGAGATTATGCAAGATGCGCAGGTTTCCTATGGCCTACGCGTTGGCTGTAGATGTGCCAGAGAAGGAGGAGGAAGCATTGCACGGCACAATTAAGGCATCTGAGACATCGGCGCCGGCTTCTGCTGGCAACGGGGCGGAGAGAGTTTCTTTGGTTCAAACGCCCGCCGACTCCTCCTCGCCTTGGGTGTCTCGCGCGGAGAAGGCGTCTGCTCCTGTAGAGGCGCTCAGCGAATGCCCTGACCCGGGTCTGAAGCAGCACAAGCCGCATAGGCCGCCACTGGAGGCAGCCGAGGTCGTTGCGGAGGCAAAGTCACCGGAGGTGTCTTCGATCGAGGAGCTCACGGGCGCCGGATCCCCAATAGAGCCGCTGACGGATTCGAGGGACTTGCATGGGCCGGCGCCGTCCACTGCGCAGGAGCAAGTGGCGAAGGTGGAGGCGGACTCGGCGCTGTGCCCATTGCAACCCTCATCGTCTGCGTCGATCGCCGCCAAGTCCCCTGCCTGGTCGACAGAGGCGAAGGAATCCGAGGCGGGGTCGCCGTCAGAGATTTCTGCACTGCGTGCTATTCCCCTGCCGCAGGGGAAGAGTGCACCCCGTGCCTCCTCCTTTCATCCACCCCACATCACTGCATCTGAGCTTAAGGAGGCGACAGCGGTTGTCCATCCAGCACCAGCACCAGCGCCAGCGCCAGCAAAGCCGCCAACGAGGACGACAACAACAGCAACGACGCCGCTCGCTACGGCAGAAGTAAAACGCTTCCCACAAACGGTACAAGCTGGTAACTCGGTAAAGGAGACGAGTCTCCGTTCCCGCGTTTCCCCGACGGGGCCACAGGGCGCGGCTATACCGCGCGTCAAAAGTAGGATGACGCTAAGAAGCGCCGCCACGAGGTTGAATTCGCAACCGCACCCGCACCCGCCACCCTCGCCACCTCCAGTGCAAATTATGAGCCAGCCGAGTCAATCGGTCGCAGGGGCGTCTCTCACGTGTTTTCCTCCCACGACTGTTGCTCGTCCGCCATCTTCGCAGATGGGCAACCTCAGAACGCGTCAGCGCAGTGATTCATTGATGAACGTGCCAAGGACGGTCCAGGCGGGACGGGGTAGAAAGTACCGCTCCAACTCGCTGAGCTTTCCTTTTTATCGAAACGTTCATCCTCCAAGAAATGTGGCTCCTGTCACAGGCGAGGGTGCTTCGGCGAACGCGTGTGCGACTCCCCCACACACGTCATCTATGTTTTCAGGTGTATCAACAGCGGCATCTGGCGTCGTCTTGCCGAAGTTTTCTGCCTTTTGTAACGGCAGGCCTGGCGCCGTGGGGACGCCACCAATACGGCGCCCTTCCGCGGAGGTGCGGCCCGCCTACCGACAGGTGGTTCAAAGAAACGTTGTTGCCGCTGGCCGACCAGTTGTGGGGAGAAAAAGCCCGATTCAACAGGAATTCAAGAGTCCGTCTGTCGTCTCTCGGGCCATGCAAGGGACTGTGGGGACACGTGGTGATGGCGCCGGTAGCGGTGTGATGGCGAGCGTGGATAGAAATGCACTGGGCAAGAGAGAGATGGGGTTTGCCGTGGAAGATGCACCTGCTGAGACGCGGGTCCCACACAATGCCCGCCGCTTCCCAACTGTGCGGGCGCCAGAGTAGCTGTGGGTGTGTGTATTAGAGACATGTCTCTCTCATTGTCCCCCTCAATTTCGCCGTGTGCGTGTGCGGTGTATGCAACTGTCAAGAAGCGAGACGTCATACATTGAGACTTAGGGGCAAAATTTTTCTTCAGCTCTTTCGCTCTCATATGAATTGTGTGTTCATGAGCCATCATTGACACTTTTCGCCTCTCTCCGCCGCCCACCCATCCACCGCTCCGTATTTCCAGTGGTGTGGCGTGGGTGGGGAGTAGTGAATGTACAAACTGGGATGTGCCTCGTCAGACAGCGGGGAAAAAACTGAAGCTCGCAAATAAGAATGGAAGCAAAAGGAAAAAAAAAGGGGAGATAGGGAAGGGTGCAATTCACCATGGGTTGTGTATGCACGTCTTTTGTGGTTGCGTTCAGCTCGACTTTTTTTTTTGCTTTGTTCGTTTTTTGCAACTACCGCTTTTATCCCTCCGTCTCGCACAGTTTCTAAACTTTTCCTTTGAGCAGCACATTTATATATTTCTCTGTGTGTGTGTATGCAGGAGGAGACACTGCCTGCAGCCAACGAGGGATGAATATTCTGGCGTTACTTAACATGCAAGGCTTATATATATATATATATATATATAAATGTATATGCGAAGGTGGGTGTAAGCGCAATTCTGAATAGGGATGAGCCACATTGGATGGGTCTCTCCCACCCCACCCCCCTCCCGCGCACTTTTCTTTTCACCTTTTTTTTTTTCTACTGCCTTTCGCACTTACAGAAACACGAGTCAGCGCGTTTTTTTTTTGTACTGTCCTGCTGTTTCTTTTCTGGGCGTTTGGTTTTATATCCACATGCGTGGTTCTCTCTGCGTGTAATGAATGTGGACACGTAACTGCGGGTAAGGGGGCGAGGGAGGAGGAGGGTGTGTGTGTGTGTGTGGCTTATGGCCCTCCCACCCCCATACACTCTCCTTACACGCGTGTGCGCCTGTGTGTTTGTGTTCTTTAAATGTGGGTTTTTGGATACTTTTAATGCGTCGACATCTCACTGTGTACGGTGTAACATCTGTGGCTATTTGTTGGTGGTATTCACTCTCTGTGGTGAATGGCGCACATTCCACTCCGTTTTTTCCCACCACCCCCTACTTGTGTTTCTGTGTGTGTGTTTTTGTTGTACGCCTTCTCCATTCTCAGTTTTTTTTCTTTTTTCTGCTATTTCTTTCCTTCTTCCTCTGCCTTTCTATGACTTAATCAGTGACTTCGCCCACCGCCGTGGCTACCGGCGGTGGCCGTCATGGCCGACCGGAGCTCATGACGCGGGATGGGCGAAGGGGGAGGGGAACGGACGGTGCCGGCGCCAGCAACAGCACCGTTGCTCTCTTTCTCTCTGCATTTATGTACGGAGGCGTCTGCGTCCGGTGGATGCGTCGCAAGTGCGTGTGCTGCGTTGCCTGCACCGGTGAACCCACGTGGTTTCTGTGCCCTTTTCCCTCGCCTCCCCGCCCGCCCTGTTTGCCTGCAACACCCCCTTCCCTTTTCTTTGTTTGCCTGCTTTTTTCCCGCTCCTCCTCCTTTGGATCTCGCCGACGGAGTTCGAACAAGGGGTGGGAGCCGGGGTTGCTGCGTCGCGGCGCGCCGTTCAAGCATGGCGGGTCGCCAAGCGGACGAGCTGCGGGAGATCTACCAAGAGCTCACGCGCCCGGGCGGCTACAACCTCCCGCAGGCAAACCTCCAGCCGAGTTGGTGTCAGCGCTCCAGTCTGCGTTACACCAGCGGCGCGCCCTCCGCCGCCGCGAGTGCATCTTCCTGCGGTGGGCGACCGGCCGCCGCGGCCCCATCTCTGCCCGCGCCCTGCCGCGAGGAGGACGCGGAGAGGTGCGCCCCGCCCGGGCTCTCTGCGGCATGTGAGAAGGTGTTTGGCAAACACCAGCGCACCTCAACGGGAGGGCAAAACCCGCCTGGGGCGAGCCCCCTTTATGCGGGTCTATTAGATAGCCGTAGTGTGAGCACGAGGCCGCGGACGCGGTTTGCGCCGGTGAGGCAGCAGCATAATAGTGGTCTGGCGACGCACACCTACTCTAGTGACACGACAGAGAGAAAAGTGCCGGGTGCCGACGGAATCCATGCCACGCTTGCCGAGTTATTTTTGCCATTGCCGGCGGAACACCGTTTGACGTGTTGGCTGTGCGAAGCTGCGTGCGAAGAGCCAGGCTGGTTGAACGCACCTGCAATGTACGTGGGCGCGGAGGAGGCGCCGGAAGTCAAGGATCGCCTTCCCCCTGTCACTCTGCTTACCTTGTGCTCACGCTGCAGCGCAGCCTGCGCGTTGCCTGCGGCTGCCCCGCACGATGAAGTCTTGAGGAAGGCTGGCGCAACACGAGCCTTGCTGCGACGCACCGAGATGTTTGTCCAATTCCTGCGAGAATACAAACAGTTACTGGAGTCTCTTGCTGGGACCGCAGAGAAGATGACACTTGGAAGTGCCACGGCCCACGCAGGCGGCGCACCTCCCTTGCTGTGGGATCTTTCGCCCGATCTCCACGCGAGCGTGACGCAAAAACTCACCGACGCGTTGACTTCCGCGCTGGAGACGGACACGCTGCAGTCGCATCGGCGTCAGGTCCCCAGCCTCTCGCCGCAAGAGCGGCTTCTCTTAGAGCGTGAACGCGCCTGGCTTCAGCGGCGGCTTGCACTCATGGAGCCGAGAGAGCAGTCGCCCGTGAGGCTACTGCGCACCGCGGATGCGCTGCCCAGCCGCCTCTGGGGTCCAAGCTCCGCGGCCTCGCCGCTTCCAGTAGCCACCGGGAGCGGGGCTCAGCCACACAGCGTGTCACATGGACCGCGGCGCAGCCCACAATATGACGCGAAAAAACTGGATGCCATGCTGCGGCTTCAGTCTCCCTCTGCGAAGATAGAGCAGGGGACTCGGCAGCAGGAGCCACCGAATGGCGTTCTGCATGCTAGAGAAACAAGCTTGGAGGCGCTTCAACAAATGGTGGGGCGTGCGCTGACGGCACAGTGGCAAAACTTGGGTGATGGGACTGCATCAACCACAACTGTAACAGACAGGCTGGCCGCGACGTACGGCGAGGAGGATGCACAGACGTTAAACTCCACAATGATCACCCCCACAGCAAACGCTGCTGCAGGAGCTGCTGGGTCAATGCACAATGACCCCGAGAACATTCTATTGGACTATTTTGAGGGAAGGCTGGATGAGCTGCCGAGGTTTAAGCTTTTCTCTCTGGGTGATGGGGGTGGTAAAAGTAGTTCCCTGCAGAATTTCCGAAACCTGCCAGGCACACCGAAGAGACCGTGCGACAACCCAGCAGATGCATCGTCTCATGTCGTGCTGGCGGCCGCCGATGTGGCTGCTGCGGCCGCCATGGACGCAGGGGAGCTGTTGACGCAACTACGCGAAGAGCGGCGACGCCGCGGGGCGGCGGAAGCAGCACTGCGTGAAAGTCAACAGAGGATTGCCGCACTTGAAAAGACCACAGATCATATTTCAGGCTTGGCCCTGGACTTGAGCCACATACTGGGGGACCACGCCGTCGCGATGCAGAGATTCGTTCGCACCGCGACACAAGACTGCGTGGAGATCGTGCTGCAGAAGTCACTTCTCTTTTCAGACGAAATGGCCGCCTTGATGCGCCAGGCGCAGCGGCGGGGTTGCGGTGTGAACACACGACCCCCGCGAACGCACGCGAGGGAGGCCGTCGGGGTTGGCCGCGAGGTTCCGCCGCCTGCGCCTGTGTCCTTGCAGGGTGCAGCACGCGCGGCTCCCGGGGCGGAGCCCGCACCTCCCGCGCTTTCCCGCCTGCTTTCCCTGTCGCTGGGGCTGACGCCACTCGTGCCCAGTGATATCTCCCGGCGCAGTGGGTAGCGGTTTTTGTAGGCCCGGGCGCACCCGCACAGTGGCCGACTTGGGTTCGGTCTTGTGCGTCGACGTCTCTCCGCGGCGTGGGCGCCGAAGGCGTTCAGCGGTCACCAACGTGCATGATGGAATGGCTCGAGGGACAGGAGGTAGAGGGTGGCGAGGCGTCACCCAACGGAAACAACGAGAGTAAAAAAAAAACATGGTGCGACTCACACCGCTATCACTACCTCACAAAAAGCAAGAAGGTTTACTCCGAGACGAAGAGAGAACGTTGTACGCCACTGCAGTTGGAGTGGGATGTGTATTTATCCCTCTCTTTTTTACTCTCTCTGTGTGTGCGTGCATTTAGGGGTGAAAAGTGGCAGGCGTCGATGACGCCGCGGATGCCACTTCAACGCTACCTCCTGTATACCGCTGGATTCTTGCTTTGACCTCCTCTGCATTTTTTTTATTATCTTCTTTCTTTTACGTGAAAAACAGTGTGTGTGTGTGTGTGTGAGGGGGGGGATATACATATTTGTTGCTTTTTATTTATTATTTATTATTTATTTTTGCTCCGGGAATGAAGTCCGTGGCCTCACATTTTCTTACCACGCCCTACGCAGGTGACGAGGCGGTGGAAGCCAGAAGTCGTGGCTGCAAACAGACGGCAGCCAGCGTGCCATGCAGCACGGCGATGGGGGCTCGTGCAGACGATGTTGCACGTCGTGTGTGTTACCCACCGCACTCGGGCTCGGTGTCCGCTCCACGTCCTGCGTTTATTGGGCCGCTGCTCCGTTCCCCGCGCGTTGGTGAGACGGTGGTGCTGCTGGATGGAGTGCCCTGTGGCGCTGTCTGCCTCAGTGGGCGTGTGGTGCGCTGTGAGGGGCCTCAGCGCAACGGCAGCGCCTCGGCTCTGCGGCCGTACACCGACTTACTGATCTCCGACACCACCGGCATAATCTCGGTGATGCAGCTCCACAGGACAAGGACGGAGGCCAGTGCCGGCGCCGCCTTGGAGGATGACGCGTCCTCTTCAACCGGAGGTGTGGCCGAACTGGTGGGAAACGCAGACTGGGATACGATTTGCGAGAACGACTACGTCGTTGTGGTCGGTTGGCTCGCCTTTGCGGACGCCTCGAAGGAGGTTCGGCGTCTTTTGCAAGGCGCCGTGGATTTTGTCACGGGCGGTGACGGGACAAAGGCCGATGGAAACTGTTTCTGCGTGCGGGGAGGCGTTCGTCTTATTACTGACATGAACGAAATTCACTTTTGGGCCCTCGCTGCTTTGGAGACCCACGTGCGACTGCTGCGCAGGGCGAATGACCCGGCGCCGCCGCTGCGTGTTGGGGGCTGCGGCGCATGACGGTGTGTAAAGGTGATGACGATGACTATCTTTTTTCTTTTTTTTCCTCCTCTTCTTCTATTTGCTTTGGATGCTCACACGTTACAGAGCCGCGTGGGTCCTCTTTCGCTTCACATGCCACAGAGACGGGGTGGCGGAGTGGCGTGCGGTGCGTATGCCTCTCCCCCCTTCTCCCAATGATTCCTTTACGACAGGAAATGTCAAACGATGAATATATGTCTACAGGGAGTACTTCTGCAACTCGTCTGGGGGGTGGCTGAGCCTTTTGTTGGAACTCTCTCAGCCCCGCCACGCACTCTCTCTCTCTCTCTCTCCCTCCCTATCTCGTTTTCCATGTGTGGTTTTTCTTCGCCCTTTTTTTACTTCGCTTCTGCGGTGGTGGCCGCGGTGTGTGTGTGTGTGGGAATGCAGGGGTAGAGCAGTCCATGCGCAAGCGGGAGCGTTCGGATTCGGATTCGGATTCGCCCGCACTTCGCGGCACCCCGTCCGTAGAGCCGCTGGGCCAACGGATGTGGTTGCGCCAGCAGGTCTTGTTTGACGTCTTGCGCCGCACATCCCTGGCGGAGCAGAAGGACCGCGAGATTGTGGAGTGGCTCACAGACGCCGCGGAATGGCTGCAGAGCGCGGAATACGCGAAGCTTGGCGCCGGGTCGCTCACGGAGCTTCGCTTTCTCGTCCTTGGCGTGCTACACACAATGCCGTGGTGGCGCGTGGTGGAGGCGGTGGACCCAACGCGCGTCCATGTAGCTTCACGCGGTGCACAGAGTGCCTCGCGCGCCATTACGCGCTGGCATGAGAAGATCCAATTCGCCTTTGAGCGTGTCTGTATGCTGCTGGTTGAGCAATCCCCGCACGCCGTGCGCGGCGTGCTGGAGGTGGCCATGAAGCCGTTTCAAATGCGGCCGCCTGTGGCCGACGGCGCGCGACGGTTGATCCCGGCGGATTCCATCATGCGCATCATGAACACGGTGGCCACAAAGTACCCGAGCGCTGTCGTCCTGGAGGTGCTGGAGCAGAGTATGCGGTCGCTTGTGCCAAAGCGGCGATGGGCGGAGGAGCGACACCACAAGGCGTGCATTGCACTCTTTTTGCACCTCGCACTTGAGGCGCATGTTCCTTTGTTTCCAACCCACGACTGCGGCCAAAGTGGTCTGTTTGTGAATCGTGCCACCTCGACGTTGCATGGCACGGCCCCTGCCGCCTCGCTCCGGGGCTCGGAGGAGAGCGGAACAGACGCCGCGGGCTCGTCCCACTCCAACCGAGGCTATCAACTGCGCCCACTCGAGATGACTGCCCCTGTGATGTCCGCAAGTGAGGCAGACTTTAGTGATGCGGGGATGAATATGTCATCCGCGACTGACGGACGCTCGTTTCCAACGCGTTTCACGGAGTTTACGATGCAGAACAATAAAATGTTGGCGTATCGCAACGAACTCATTCGATTTGTGCTGCAACAGCTACTGGACATGGAATTGTCGCTACAGAACTCAGATAATGAGCCCCTGCAGGAGTTGGCTTCGCCTTCCTCGTCATGCTACGGTGCTGGTTCCACGAGCGCCGTGCGAATCTTAGCGAGCCCTCTCGCTGGACAACTCGAGGAGCGCGCAGCTGACAAGCCGTTTGTAGGGATTCTGCGCGGTTGTACGAGCCTCGTTTTTCACAGGCTGGCGGAGGATCTCATGCGACAACAGGCAGCTGGTGTTTGCGGGAACGCCGAATGGTGGCGTGAGTTGCTCGCGTTTCACCTCAACTTTGTCCTTAGGATGGAGTGCCCAATGTGCCTCTTGTACCTGGCCCCAAGCCTTGCACTGCTGGGCACCGAGGAGGAGGCCGTGGATATGATGCATAAGCTTGTGTCCCTGGTGACAAAGGGCTACCTGCCGGTTCAACAAAACGCAAGGCGTGTCGCCGCGGCGGGTCCGGCCCGTGTGCGGATGGCACCCCCATCTGTGGGACCGTTGATGATCCCCATGGCGCACCGCGTGCGTGCCGCGGTGTACCTGTACCCACTCTTCAGGTTCCTGCGTGATCGCCTTGGCAACGGCGAGGGCACCCGCAAGCGACTTCAGAAGTGGGTCACGCAGGAGCTGAGAGCCACTGCCACCGCCTCCGCAAGCCTGCTTGTGCAGGTCCTCTTTGCCCAGTGTGCCGCCATGTCGCAGCTGCTTGAGGCAGACTTTGTGGAGGAGATGAGTTCGCAGCTGCCGGACTCGCCGGCGCTGCGGTCGCTCTGGGGGCGGTACCTCCTCCCGGAGGACACGCGGCGGCGGGGGAGCCCCGGCGACGCCGAGGGGGCGGCGCCTGCCACCACAACCACCGCCAACCCCAACGGCGGCACGGCGGTCGCTGACGCTGTTGACGCGGCCGCGGGCAAGCGACGAATGGACCTTTCAAAGCTGGAGGCGGCGGGTCTGCTGCACCCGAAACTCATGGACGACTGCCCGTGGGACTGGCGGCGCTGCCAAACGGAGAGGGCGCTGGAACCGTAGCCGATGACGGAGTTACTTTCGTGTAAATCACACAAACATAAGAACAAAAAAAGGCAACAAAAAGAAAAAAAAGTGAGGTGTTAAGCCGCAGAATACGAAGCTCACATTTACCAGGGAGAGACAACGAAAACCGCGTTGGGGGGGGGGACGAAGCATATAAGGCAAAATAAAAACACACACACACAAAAACGAGAATGAAAGTGAAAGCGAAGAAGAGTCAACAACTCGACACGATTGTCACTGGTGTGTTGGATGAACATCGATCTCGTCCCGGTTGCTGGCTGTGCTATGGCTACGATGAGTATTACTATCATTAGTGTTGTTGTCGTTGCCTGCTTATGTGGTTGCCTGTCTCTTGGCCTGCGCGATGGTGAGGGTGTCTGTGGGTGGGAGGAGCGAAGAAACAATGGGAAGTGTGATGCGGAGCCCCACTTGCAGCTACATGGGACACCCTCCTTCTTCTTTTTTTCCTTTTCATCCTCTTCTTCTTACCTTGTGCTTTCTCTATGTCTGTATTTTTATTTATTTTTGCTTGAAAACAGGAGAGGTGCGAATGCAGCGCGTTGACACGATTTGCTCCCACGTGGGGCATCGGCGCTATTGCCACTTGGAGCACTCCGGCGACGCCGCCGTGCTGATCCTTCACCAGGGGCTCCACAACGCCCTCACGGTGCACATGCGGGCAGCCATACAACACTACTTTCGTGCGGCGGAGGCCGACCCCGCGGTTCACCGTATTATTATTACCGGCGAGGGGAACGACTTCTCCTGCGGAGTTGACATCACGGACTTCAAGGCTTCGGCGTCGGAGATGAAGTACGACGGCGGCGTCGTTCCAAGCCTCGCCACACTAGCAAACCTGGTGGAGGGCAGTTCAAAGGTTGTGGTGGCGGCTATTAACGGCCGCGCCTACTCTGGGGGGCTGGAGCTGGCACTCGCGGCGCACTACCGCGTCGCCTTGCCTTCGGCGGAGTTTTCCTTTCCGGAGGTGGAGTTCGGCATTGTGCCCTGCGGCGGGGGAACGCAGCGACTGCCACGTCTCATTGGTGTTCGGGCCGCGCTCGCCATGATCACCGCGTCCATGGAGGTGGGTGCCAGGAAGGCACGGGAAATAGGACTCGTGGACCACGTGACGACGTGTGCCACGAAGCACGGCAAGAAGGGAGCCGGTGGCGGTGGCGTCGCCGGCAGGCACGGGAAGCAGCTCCCTGGGAAAGGCGAGTCTCTGGTGGCCGCGGCGCTGCAAATTTCCTCCGGCTGGAAGACTCCACGACGCTTGTCGCGTGATAACAGAAAGCTCGGCAACGTCCTGGTTAACCGCGCCCTCTTCCTCCGGGCGAAGCGGGAGATTCGGAAGCGTGCCCCCAAGGGCGTTCAGGCACCGATGCGCTGCTTAGAAGCCATCCGGGCCGCCGTAACCGCGGCCTCCTTTTCCGAGGGATTAAATTTGGAGCTGAAGCTCTTCTTGGAGTCCTTGGAGTCGCCTGAGGCGCGCGCCATGCAACACCTCCTGCGTTCCTCGACCGCTGCCTTTCGCGGCGGCCTCGCCTCACTTCCGCACGGTATAGCGGCTGAATCAACTATTCGCCGCTCTGCTGTTTTTGGTTGTGGCACGATTGGCACAGGTGTCACACTGCTTATGCTGCAGAGTCAAATTCCGGTAACTGTGGTGGAGGCGAACGAAGAGCATTGCCGGCGGGTTCGTTGTTTCGTGCAGGATCGATTGAGCCGCGAGGTGGAGGAGGGCCGCCTGACGTCCGACCTGCGTGAGCAACGTCTATCCATGCTGTCGGTGGTGCCCTACGACGCAGACCTTGTAAAGGCGTTACAGGGTGTAGACATGGTGGTGGAGTGCGTCGGTGAGAATCTGGCGTTAAAGAAGCGCGTCTTTGCCCGCTTGAGTGATGTTTGCCCACCGCACTGCATCATTGCCACAAGTGCCTCCGCAATCGGTACCGGGGAACTGGCAGAGGTGACACGACGACCTGAAAAGGTCATTGGCATGCACTTTATTCCCCCCTCGCACGTTACACCCCTGCTGGAGATTGTGCAAGGCCCTCGCACAGACCAGGTGACGATTCTCCAGGCAATGCGCATGGGCCATCTGTTTCGAAAGGCCGTCATTCTAACGAAGGACACTGGGGCGTGCCTAACCACCCGCCTTCTATCGGCGGGTCTTTATCAGGCATTCGCTATGCTTGAGGAGGGGGCCTTCCCTGTTGAGGTGGACCGCGCGCTGCGACGCTTTGGCTTCCGCCGCGGCGTCTTCGTCCTTGAGGACCTGGCGGGACTCGACTTTACGGCGAGAATCCGTACCACCCTGCAGCGGCAGCGGAAGTCTTCCTCCGCGGAGGCGGACGTGTACACAATACCGCGCTTGTTGGTGGACGCGGGTCGGCTTGGGGAAAAAAGAGGGCTTGGCTGGTACAACTACGAGGAGACCTCGCTGGTCGGCTCTGTCCTCTCCACACTGCGCGGGGCGAGGCGCGTGGAGGATGAAAAGGGGGTGGCTGCATTGGGGGTGTGGCACAAGGGCGGCGCCCCGCTTGAGCGCATACCACGCCCTGACCGGGCGGTGGAATTATTAATTCTTGACGTCTGTATGAAAAAAGATATTTTGCGCCGGGACATTAGTGATAAGGAAATCGTGGAGCGTATCGTATTTTCCATCATCAATGAGGCCGCCAAAATTCTTGGCGAGGGCGCTGTTGCAAGCTCCGCGGATGTGGACGTGGCAATGACCTTCGGATACGGCTTTCCCGCGTGGAAGGGCGGTGTTTGCCATTATGCCGACAAGTTTGGTTTGGCGAACGTCGTGCACCGTATGCGCATCTACAATCGCGCCTTTGGCGATGCCGTCTTTCCGCTGCCTTGCGACGTGTTGGTTGCCATGGTGGCCTCGCAGCAGAACTTCTGTTCCATGTGGAAGTAGCCTGGACGAAGGGAGCCGGGTAGCGCCTGCCCCCGCTCTCACCCGCACTCGGTGCGTGTGTGTGGAAGGGGGTGCGGCGTGTATCATCTGCGTGGGAGGAGGTGGGTGTTGCTTGAAAACGAGGGAAAGGCGAGGTACAATTTTAGCTCTGTTTTTTTCTTTTTTCTCTGCAGTTGCCGGTGTTGGATGAGTGCGTGGAGCGTAGCCCCAGAAATGAACTTTTTTTTTTTTTCGTTTCCCTTCCTGCGTCTGCGTGTGCGTGTGTGTGCGGGGGGCGGATGGGCGGCGCAGGGAAGTGTGGCGGCGGGTCTTCTTCCCACCCTCTCCGTCGCTGCGTCTCACTCACTCACTCACTAACTTCGTCCCTGTACTTCTCTCTGCGCTCCCTCCTTTTTCCCCTTTCTTCCTCCCTCAGTTGTTGCACGCCGCATCCAAGCGAGAGGGGAGGGGGAGTTTAACACACATCACCGAAAATACACACACACACACACACACACACACACACACAGATAGTGCGGCAGAGATACAGCGAGAGAGAGAGAGAGAGGGCGAGGGCGAGTAGTGGCTGCGTTGTCGTTGTGTGTCGCGATGCTGCGGTGTTGCCTCCCCCGACGCGCCATTGCGCAAACGGTGCTGAAGGACAACTACACACTGTCGCGCCTGTCCAGCGGCCTGCGAGTGCTGACGTGCGACGACGGCAACGGCATCACCGGCATGGGGCTCTTCATGCTAAACGGAACGAAGTTTGAGGATGGAACGAATACGGGGGCGGCGGCCGTGTTTGAGTCACTGCCGCTGCGCAGCAACCAGATATTTACAGGCCGCGAGATCAGCGAGGCGCTGGGGTCGCTCGGTAACGCCTTTAAAATGACAAACAACAAGGAGGCGATGTCGGTTATGCTGATGATGCCGCGCTACCACCAGAGGGATGGGCTGGAGCTGCTCAACTCGATGTGCCTGCACCCGACGCGGGATGAGGCGGAGTTTCACATTGCGAAGGAGAAGGCCGCGGAACGGGCCCTCCTGCACTGCCGCGACGCAACGAGCGTCTGCCTCGAGCTCGTGCACGAGGCGGGGTGGAACGGCAAAGGGCTTGGGCAGCCGCTTGACCCAACGAAGGCGGAGCTTGAAAATCTGACGCTTGAGAAGTTCACCGCCTTCCACCGCACCTACACACGACCAGAACGCACCGTCCTCGCTGCCACCGGCGTCGCGGATCACAAGCAATTCGCCGCAGATGCCGAGCGTATTTTGAAATTTGACAGCGACACGGCGCCGCTGCAGACGCCACAGCACCACCCGTACACAGGCGGTAGTCGGTTGGTGCAGAAGACGGAGGCCCCCGAGAGCATGAACAAGTTCCAGGAGAAGAACCTCAGCCACGTCGCCCTCTTCTTTCAGGGGGTTCCCATAAAGCACCCCGACTACTACAACATCAGCGTCATTCAGACCCTCCTCGGCGGTGGAACATCGTTCAGCTCCGGCGGCCCTGGAAAGGGCATGCAAACCAAACTTTTTCGCGAGGTGCTGAACAAGGAGGGTTTCTTGCACGGTTTAGAGTGCATCACGGCATGGTACAGCGACGGGGGTCTCATTGGACTCTACGGAAGCGCACCACACGAGTCCGTCTACGCACTTCTGAAGGTGATGTTATACCAAGCCGCCTCCATCTGCCAGCGCGTGAGCCCCTTGCACCTTGAAATGGCAAAGAATCAGCTGCGGTCGCAGCTGATTCTCCTCGGCGAAGGTCGCGAACAGCTCCTCTCGGACATGGGGTTTAACATGGTGGTGCACGACCACGTTATCACCGCCAACGAGACGGTGGCGGGAACGCAGCACATCACGATTGATGGACTAAAACGCGTCTGCGCCGAAATGATTCGGAGGCCACTCACTTTTGTTGTCTACGGCGAGACGACGAAAATGCCGTCGCATGAGAAGCTGGAGGAGGCGGTGCGGAAAACGTACGAGCGGCTTAATTGAGACCACCCGCACGCGGTCCTGCCTCTCTGTGTGCGTGCGTGCGGAGGGCGAAGACAAAGGTGATTAACTCGGTCAAGTGGGGGCGCTATCGCCTGGAACTTTTTACGGCACGATATTTTTTTTTTGTGTGCGTGGTTTGCGTTTCCCTTTTGGCTGCGCTTCCTCTTTGTTTGCGTTGTGTTCGTTCCAGTTGGTGGGAGATACCGAATTAACAATGGAAGCAGCAGCGGCCAAAGTCGCCACCCACCACGAAGAGGCTGAGGAAGAATGACCAACGCGGCGGAAAAACGCCCCCGTATTGCGTTTACATTGCCACTCCACCTTTTCCCGCCGCTGCTGCTGCTCTCTCTTTCTCTCTCTTCGTTACGCACTCACTGTTTTTGTAGAGGGGGCGACTCACGGTGCGGGGCACGGAGCGGCGGCAGCAGCGCCACACCGAGCGCGTGCGCTCCGCTGCAGGAGGAGCGAGGCAGGGGGCGCCCGCACGGAGGGCACGTGGGAGCGGCCACGCGGGATGAAAGCACCCGCGAGGGTCCCGGCAACGACCTGCCACCAAAACCACCTGCGCGTCCGAGTTTCGCTCTCTTGTCGTTACCCCAACTGCATGCGCCGCGGCGCGTAAATCGCAGTAGCCACAGAACGCGGTTCTCCATTGGCAGAGTAATCGTGCCGCAGCCCAACTGCCCTCCCACCTGACAGGTTCCTTGCCATCTTCCACTGCACAGGCACTGAGAGCACAAATGCGCACAAAAAAAAGGACAGAGGGAAAGAAGCAACCCAATTGCACTGCTGCGTATTCCCTCCATGATTGGGGAATGGGAAATTCTTGTTTTTTTTTTCTTGTTGCTGTTTTATTTTGTTTTCCTGCTTCGTTTTCGGGCATCCAGTCAGCGTCTAGCTGCATCCACTAATTGCTTCTGCCACACTTTCCTCTTTTCTTTCTTATTGGATAAGCCCACTGTCACCCAACGATTCCTCAGAATGAAGATGAATTGCCGTCTGCTGTGCGTCCTGTTGGCACTCGCACTCTGCTGCTGCCGTTCGGGCGTGTCTGCCACTGGGAAGAGTGTCTCTGGGCCGAAAGTTCCGGGGTTGAAGTTCGTGCCGGTGGATGTGCCAGTGGTGTTGTGTAAGGCCGAGGCGAATAAGCTGCGCTGGCGCTTTCCCGGGGAGACGGCGTGGAAAGACTGTGCAGGTGAGCTTGAAAGTCACAGTTATCAAATCGTCACAACTCCTGCAGGCGCTGGACACGGCACGGAGTACACCATCGCAGGGGGTGGATACACTCAAGGAGTTGAGGAGGAAATCATAATTGATGCAACGTACGGTGGAAAAGAAAGTGATATTACTACCTCCATTTGCCTAACCGCTGCAACGAACTACGGAAGTTCAGAAAAATTGACTGCGTGCACTGAAAATACTGGAGAAACGGCTTTCTTTGTGATGAATTATACAACCAACCAGAGCAGTCACGTGTACAAGAAGTGGACAACGTCAAGCGGGTACAACAATTGGGTCCAACAGCAGCAGGCTGCAAAAACGTCCAGTGCGGCGGTTGCGCCAAAGACTCCAGTGGCTCAAGAAGAAACTCAAGCAGGCACTCCGGGTGTGACTGGCCCATCTGGTGCTCCTTCAACTGAAACACCGGAGGAAAACGCAGCCGGCAAATCCGGGGCAGCTCAGGGTGGTAACGCCGTGGAGGGTGCAAGTCGTCCGGAGACACCAGAAACACCCGCCGTGCCGGAGGGTAATGTGAAAGCGAAGGAAGCACTGGGCCCCGCAGCTGCTTCCTCTGGCACCGCCAAAAGCAGTGCACGGGGGCGTACTGCAGGTGGTGCGGACAGCAGCGGCGTCATCACTGCGTGGGTGCAAGCACCGCTGGTGCTGCTGCTGCCGCTGGTTGTGTCCGCGGTCGTATGAAATGGTGTGCGCCGAAGAATAAGGAGGGGAAGTTTCGATCTAATTTGTTTTCATGCTAAGTTTTTGTTTTTAATTCCCGCGCATCAACTTTCCACCAGCCGCAGGAGTATCAAGCTTTTCTTATTCACTTGTTTTTTCCCCCGTTTTTTTTCAAATGGGCGCTGTACCTCTTCGTGTGCGCATGCCCCTTCCGGGGGTGCAGGCACGACAGGCGCCGCTGCGGATGTAGTGTGGCC